CCACAGCGGAGCCTGTCATGAACGCGCAGGCTAGTAAACAGGGCCACCCATAACAGCGGATAAAAAGTTATATGGCACATTCACTAATAGGGACTAAACGTCAACAATATGCTTTACATTGACTATGGCCTGCCCATACTTTGACTACAAACTTGGTCCTCAAATCATTATGTATTTTGCAATACATGTAACTTTATAACGTTGCACTCTTTCTATAAGTTATAAATAGCTAGTAAGATAACGTTAATATAACGATATAAAATGCTAGATAAGGTGTTGTAAGGGGTATACAGTCAAAGACCCAGAACCAGATATGAAGAATGAAGACCCGGAGTCAGAATTATAAAAAATTAAAGAAAAGTTTTACTGAAGATAGTTTGCATTTTCATCAGCAGAAGTCAGCTTCAAGACTCACACAGGAGTTCGTAGGCCGCCCCCCTTACAGTTACAAAGATCACAGCAGTTATACCATTTCCAAGGTCTAAGCTACGTCATTGCTTACAGGTTGAATGATTCTCATTGGCTAAGAAACATTAAGAGCCTAAACAATTTAACACATGTGAGGAGATAGGGGTGCCTATCGCCTTTAGTCAAGATAGTTGTCGTCCACTCATTGGATTTAGGTCTGTGGTGGCCTCGCAGGTTAGAGAAGGGCGCCGGGGTGTCTGGTCCGACCGTCCAGAACCTACATAGAATGTCATACGCACACACACACAAATAACAGACACTAGCAAATAACAGCTCCCATCAAGGCTGAAGAGAGTCTGAGCTCCTTATTATCAGTTAAGTATACCAAAACATAATGCTAAAACATTCACTCGTTTGGGAGAAAAACAGATAACTGGCATTTACTCCCAAGGAAGGAAATATACTGGAAAGAATACATTTTAATACAACAATTAAAGTTCGATAGTAACGCTCCATATAGCTTGACCATCTGTCCAGCGAAGGATCATATGTGTCCACGCTGCCTTTAGGACCCTCTATAAACCTTTCTACTGATCCCAGAGAAAGAGACAAACGGCCTTGTGGGTTACGGGGCCTTCGTGTCCTGCGTGTACTACGTGCAATCTCAAAGTAAGATTGGAATGCACCTAAAAGAAACTGGTTACTTGCATCCATGCATTTAAGAAAATATAATTTCACAAGCACAAGAATATAAAAATTATTATGTGATAATGAATATATTTGATTATTGATTTTTATAAAGGAAGTATATAACCATTCAAAATGATATATGATTATATATGTATTTGAAGAGGCAAGGGATTTTGACCAACCCTTCAGTGTGCTAGTACATTATTTCAGCAACATGACAAGCCAGTGAATTAGCAGGTTTCAATTGTTGCTTAGCAGAGTGCTTGACATTTTATCTACATGCAGCTAGAGTTTTTACACTGAATCAATGGGCTCTGTGTAATTCTTTCTTTTTCGCTTGTTTATCGTCATCGGTCTTTTTCCCTTTACCTCTTTGTTTTATGAGCAGGTGTCACTCGAGAATTGGCCGTTTAGGTTGTTTCTCCGTCATAAGCACAGCTGCAGCACGCCGGCAATCTTGAGTTTGAACGACGGCTCGCGCTGTGCAAGAGAGGGGTGTGTGATCAGCGCGTACACGAGCGTGACTGACACTGCTAAGACATTCCTCCTGGCTCTGATTGGTTGTTTCTGACCGGGAGCGTGTATTTCTGCAAATGGCAATAGGACCACTAGGAGGAGCCAGAGGAGCTTGATTTTTTCACAGATTATCTGTCTCATATTCTACAGGACATAATGACAGTTTTAACAAATATGTAAAAAATATGTTTTACAAAAGCTACCTACAGCAGCTTTAACTGCCCTAATAACGTTAGAACATCATGAAAATAAAAAATGACATGACAACTTATCGTTATAAAATCTTTATTTATTTTATTAAAAGTTAAGAATTCAGGTTTGTTTATCAGTATCTTAGCAAAGCTAACTTCCGCTGGAATTGTCGGATAGGAACCGTCCGTAACTTTTCGCAAGAGTTCAATCCGGATGACCAACGGACACGATTTCCTTCGCACTGCACTCGGTCGGACCCGTTTCGGACTCATTCGCATGCGGTCTGCGAATCTCCATAGGAAATGAATGACTTCCGGTCGTTTCGGAGCCGTATCGGAGCTGATTTCAACTGCCAGTGTGAAGGCGGCATTAACAGCGCGTGCGACGCCGCATCCAAAGATGAACGACTTCAAGCCGAATCTGCCCGAGCATGTACGTCTCACCGCACAGGCACGCAGTTTGCGCGTCTAAATTGCAAAGTTCATTGCAAAGTATTTTTGTTAAGGTTTTGTTTACTGTGTGTGATTTATTTAAAACAAAGCACGTTCATTGCAACGTTTTTTTTTGTTTGTTTTTTGTTAAGGAATCATTTAATGGAAAGCACATTCACTTCTAGTTGTCTTGCTGTTCATTTTAAATAAACGTAGAGCGAGTTGTCCTATAACAGACGAACAGATATTCAACCGAACGTCTGGCTGCTATCTAAAAAAAAAAAAAAAAAAAGGTCGACTATCAGTCGACTACGGCAAAATCTAACGAATCAGATTCGACAATGAAAATCCTTAGTCGAAAACAGCCCTAGTCATTTTTATAATTTGACGACGACTCCATATCGATATTGTCTAAGTTCAACGTTTTTACTGTTTTGCACGCAAAATACGCATGTTCACTTACCGGCCCGGGGATTCCCCAGTCGCAATTCGAAACAAATGACAACAAAATCAAATCCATCATTGTTAGTTTGAGTTTCACACATGTATTTAATGATCAGTAAAAATTAGGGCTGTCAAATGATTAATCGTGATTAATCACATCCAAAATAAAAGGTTTTTTTACATAATATATGTGGGTGCACTGTGTATAATTATTTTATATATATAAATACACACACATGCTTGTATATATTTAAGAAATATTTTCATGTATATACTGTATATAGATTTATATATAATTTATATTATATATAAATATAAATATTTTATATATAAATAATATTTTTTTCTTAAATATTTATATATATACAAAATAATTATACACAGTGCACCCACATATATTATGTAAAAAAAACTTTTATTTTGGATGTGATTAATCGTGATTAATAATTTGACAGCTCTAGTAAAAATATGTTGTTGTCATTATTTATTCAAATAAATTTGCGATAAAGTAAAATGCGATCAGGCCATCCTTAAAAATATTCTTGTTTGCCGTAACCCGACCGACCCTGTTAAATTAGGACCGACCCAATTATTTATTTATTTACTTGCCGGTTGTAAACTTGCATTAAGACCGACCGATTTTTTTTTTTTACTCTTCAAACAACTAATACAAATGCAATAAAATAATATACATTTATTATAGTAAGTATTGTGAATATAAATTGCGTAGGCTACGTTCTTTCTTTTAAATAAAAACCCGGGGCGTCATCTATTATGATTATGTTTACACCATTGGTTTACGCATGTCACACTATGGCCTGTGCGTTCGCTTCGTTTCATTCACTGTCAATGGTTCGCGCTCGGTGATGATGGCTGCGGCGCGGCTGCTTGTGAAATACGTCTGTATGAGCCTACATTTAGTCGCTCATTATTCGAAATTCTTAATGGTCAAATAGGGAATCGATGTTAACGGCCTTTTCTCGGAGCGCGTCCAGCTCGTCATGACATGCCCACCGCGAACGCGCGTCACACAGCAACTGCAGGCTCTGACAAACAAACACACATAAGTGTGGGAAGCCAAACACACCGAAAGGGGGACGAAACGGCGCGGTGTGTTACAGAGTTCGCGCTGCGCTGACTTGTAATCTGCGTGGCTCAATGGACCGAGACGCGCGAGCGCGACAGACTCGACAGCGCAGGAGAAGTGTTTGCTTGCGCCAGCCAATGGTCAGAGCGGCGGGAACTAATCTCACCAGCGCCACGCTGACCAATAAAACAGCACATCCCATACCGAAATGTACTAAATTGCACAAAAGAAAATCGACCATTCCATAATATGTCAGGACTACTTAATCGGCCTATAGTTTCCTACACTGCGCCTAGCTTTTTGACCACACTGATTTCCGTTAATAATAGCAGATGTTTATGGGTCAAATCTCTCACTCTCTCCCTGCAACTTTTTGTTACCCTCCTTTCCTGCCCCTAGACCAGAAAGGGGGCTTGTAACAGTATGGGTCAAATGTAAACGAATGGTGCCAAACGCGCTGTTTTATTGGTCGGCGCGGCGCTGGTGAGATTAGTCATTTTAATTTATTTGTTTCCCTCTGAAAATCCACTTTCATTGAAATCTAGTGGCTCCTTTTTTTTTTGATACTGCCTATTTTTTTCCAAATGAATGCAGCTGGAATTAATGCAATAAATATGTGTTTTTTTTTTACAAAGATTTCAAATTGTTTGTGGTCTATAACCTGTATCAGAATGAGGTTCGCAATGGTGCGCCCGAAGGCATGGGGGTTGAAGACCCAGTCAGTGACGTCACGATATGCAAATTTGTTTAAATTCATACCGACCTAATCACTATGACCAAAATTATCCTTTTTTTTTTTACATTGAATCTTGAAAAAAAAAAATATAGACCTACCTACCGACCCTTTTTTTTTTTTTTTTTGCTGTTACTGCAAACCAAAATATTTTTAAGGATGGCCTCAGACTAAAAGTAGTAATGCGATAGGGGGCCCCGGCTGTCAATCAATATCTTCCAGTCACGCGGGCCCGATTGGTCCGGCCCCGTAAGCAACTGCGTTCCCTGCTTACCGATAGTTACGCATGTGCTGCTGAAGCTTTTGGTCGCTTTTAGAGAGAAAGATTTCTCATAACTGCTGGTCTAGGAACAGTTTTCTCCATAATAATAGCATGTTGGCAGTTGCCTCAGCCTGTTGACACTAATGACTTCACTTCACCATAATTAATGAGGTGAAAACAGGGGCCTAGACCTTATTCAGAGCAGCAACATGATAGGCATGAAAGTGAGGCTGTGAAGATAGACTTACCGTGTTTTAAAAACTATTTCCAAAAACATATATTAGACTTGTTTTCAGTTTAAACAAGTTAAACACAGTTAAACACCTTTTGTCAAGACAATTGTTTTTTTCTGTTTATTTCTCATAATTGCATGTACTATCAGAAGACAATATAGTAAACTTTGTAAATAAGTAAGTGACATAAATATAATTCAAGATAGACCTACTAAGCACACAATCCATGCAGAGAGATTTTGCACACAAACAAGATTAACACTGTTGAAGCTTGACCTCTTAAGTCTTTCTAGTCTTTCAATTATTTAAACAAAAACAAACAAAAAACTAGATCCTCCATATTTTGTCTTGTGGAATTTATCTGAATGTAGTTGATATGAACACAAATGTTGATCACTTGCAACAGTTTTTCATATGAGCATGAAGGCTTGATAAATGTTTAAAACTCTCCCCACACTGAGTACAGTGGTACGGCTTCTCTCCAGTATGAACTCTCTTGTGTGTTTTCAGGTTTCCAGACTTAGTGAAACTCTTCTCACAATATGAGCACTTGTAAGGTTTTTCTCCAGTATGAGTTCTTTGGTGCCGTTTCATATTACTAGATGTAGTAAAGCTCTTCCCACAGTCACAACACACATGATCTCTCACTTCATTATGTATTTTTTGGTGCAGTTTAAAACTGTCCAGCCGTGAAAAACTCTTTCCACAGAGAGAACACACATAAGGCTTCTCGTCTGAATGAACTTTCAGGTGTGATTTTAGATGTGTTGACGAAATAAACCCTTTACCACATCGATCACAGTTAAATGTTTTTTCTCTAGAGTGAATACGCAAATGATGCTTGAGTAAGGATGAAGATGTGAAACTCTTTCCACACTGAGTGCATGGATACGGTTTCTCTCCAGTGTGAATTCTCATGTGTGTCTTAAGGTCTCCTTTTTCTCTGAAACTCTTTCCACAGAGAGAACACAAGTGAGGCTTAGCACCTGTGTGACAAGTTAGGTGTTTTTTGAGATATGATGGTGAAGTAAAACCTTTTCCACACAGAGTACAGTAATACGGCTTCTCTCCAGTATGAACTCGCTCATGATATTTCAGTGATTCAGAATGAGTGAAACTCTTGTCACAATATGAGCACTTGTAAGGTTTTTCTCCAGTATGAATTCTTTGGTGCAGTTTCAGTTTGTCAGCTCTAGTAAAGCTCTTCCCACAGTCACAACACACATGATCTCTCACTTCATTATGTGTTTTCTGGTGCTGTTTAAAACTATTCAGCCGTGGAAAACTCTTTCCACAGAGAGAACACACATAAGGCTTCTCATCTGAATGAACTTGCAGGTGTTGTTTTAGACTTGAGGATGAAATAAAATCTTTACCACACTGATCACAGTTGAATGGTTTTTCTCCAGAGTGAATGTGCAGATGATACTTGAGAGCTGATGCATGAGTAAAACTCTTCTCACACTGAGTGCATGGATACGGTTTCTCTCCAGTGTGAATTCTCATGTGTATCTTAAGGTTTATTTTATTTTGGTAACTCTTTCCACACTGAGAGCAGGAGTGCAGCTTATTGGCTTTTGTTTCTTGAGTTTTGAAGTCGCAGTGTTTCTTGACGTCATTTAGTTTCTGTCTTTGCTCCTTCACTTCCATCTGGACTAAAATAAACATATTAATCAGTTAGAATCAGTTCAATGAGGTTAAATGTGAGAATTAAAATCACTTAGCAAGCAGAAAACAAGACACCCGTCTGTATAAAGTATCTTTGAAAGGTCAGTTTTGTCATTCTCTTGTTAAAGCGATTAAAACTGGCTTATGATCATTTACATGCATTTCTCTGTTATTTGTAATCCATATTTCAGAGATACGAAAGCAGTCAACAATGAAGAATCAAGAATGGACACCAACCAGGGTTTCCATTGTCCGGTAATTACCGGACATTGGCCTGGAAAAAAATGAAATGTCCGACAAAATTAAATCTCTCCGGTCAAATTGTCGGATAAAAATGGCATAATAATCCCGCCCCCTTAACACAATATGAATTTGAGAATAAGCCTAAAATGTATAAAGCAAAAATACCCCGACCTTTGGCTATGTTATAAAGGAACTGGCTCTACCGTCTGAAAGTTATTAAACAACATCGCATGCTGCATTTCAAATAAAGCGCACGCCTCAAAACGGCTGTAATATAGACCTAAACAACGAACGATTGAGTGAGACGTTTCAAATATGGCCAGGCCCAGGCAGGCTAGCCTTAAAAGCTTTTTTCAGAGGCCAGACGCGACGGACGATGGTGAATCAGGAACATCTCATTATATAGATCAGTGGTTCTAATCTGCGCACTCGTAGGCTACAGTTTTTTTTTCTCTCATCAAAACTGAATAGCCTATGTTCATCAGTGGTTACAGCCTATATCAAGCAGGGACACGTTTGTGTGCATTTTATTTTGTGATTTCACCGGAATGAATAGAGTCTCCGCAACGGTGATAGATTGAAACGCGCGTCCGAGTGAAGATTCCGCAACTCGCACAGCGCGCCGTCCATGACACTGATAGCAGCGGACACGAGCGCTCAGCTTGATTTCAAAAACAACAGATTTTAGCGCTAGATCTCTTATTTAATAGCGAACTAAATTAATGATCTGCTAGTTAACTGGAGATGTTTTATTTATTTGTATTAGGTACATCCGTGCCTCAATGTTTCAAAAAGTGAATGTGTGTGAAACCATAGTAAAAAACGTACTCGGTTACTAACGTAACCTCGGTTCTCTCTAGAGAGGGAACGAGTACTGCGTAATATCTTACGCTAGGGGAAAACCTCTTTTCCTCGATATATTGAAGCCAAAAAATTATCCTTAATTTTGTATTAATGTAAAACGCATTGCAGCAGCATGCAGACATAGGCAAGGCGGCTTAGCGTGCCTATTGGCTGTCCTGCAGCAATTGCAGCAGCCTATCGAGAAGGGCCCTTCTGTGAGGGCGTGGCGTGGCCTAGCCCAATAAATATAGCTCGATGGGCTGATATAATCTGGTTTTCATCGCCGAAGCGAACCAGAGCGTGTTGCATGCACGGCAAGATACGCAGTACTCGTTCCCTCTATAGAGAGGACCGAGGTTACGTTAGTAACCGAGTACGTTCTCTTACGAGAGGTTCTCTCGTACTGCCTAATATCTTACGCTAGGGGAACAATGTAAAACGCTGTGCGTGCTGGGATCCGACACTAAAGTCCCAAGGGTATGTGCCCGGGGCTCATATAGTATACCATCACCAGGGACTCACAGAGAGTCTGAGAAGTGAGGCTAGAAGCATCATTCCCAATAACATTTAGCGTCCTAAGGAAGCTAGTCACTTATACTGTAGTGTTCCACACAGTCAGGGTGAAACATTCGGCCTGAACTGTGCAATAGTATGGGTCTTACTTTGCCCATATTAGCTTTAGTCGGTTAGCGAGCTGCGCTCGAGCGATTGTAGTATTCTGAGCCGAAGTACGGGGCAGATAATACTTGTTTTATACCGACAGCAGTTTAGCCTGTAAGGCGGGAACCTCCAGGTTATAAAACCTTATAAATGTAGACGGGGAGGCCCAGCCTGCCGCCATACAGATATCTTGTAGGGTAATCCCGCTAGACCATGCCGATTGTGGAATGCACTTTAACATCTAGAGGGCACTCAAGGCCCTTTGACGTGTATGCCAGCGCTATGGCATCGACTATCCATCTGGATAGGCTTTGTTTCGATGCAGCTAGTCCCTTAGAACGCCCGCTGAACGAAACGAAAAGCTGCTCAGTCTGTCTGAAAACTGACGAGCGAGACACATAAGCCCTTAATACCCTGACTGGGCAAAGGAAGCTCGCGTCCATCTCCTCGTTACAAACCGGCAGGGCAGACAGGGAAATAACCTGGGCTCTGAACGGTGTATTGAGGGATTTAGGTACATATCCATGTCTTGGTTTGAGTATGACTTTCGAGTCATTTGGCCCAAATTCCAAACATGTCGCGCTCACTGAGAGCGCTTGCAAATCCCCTACGCGCTTCACTGAAGCGAGAGCCATAAGATACGCTGTCTTAAACGACAGGTGTTTCATGTCCGACAAATGGATTGGCTCGAATGGGGCACCTTTCATGGCTTCCAGAACCATTGAAAGGTCCCACATGGGGATTGAGGGGGGTCTGGGAGGATTTAGCCTCTTAGCTCCTTTAAGGAAGTGGATGACCAGATCATTCTTCCCCAGTGACTGGCCAGTCGCGGGTTTTGTAAACGCAGCTATGGCCGCCACATATACCTTGAGCGTGGATGGGGTTCTGCCCTTATCCAGCAGCTCTTGAAGGAAGGAAAGAACTCCCGTAACCCCGCAGTCTGGGGGTGAAAAGTCATGGGCTTTGCACCATCCAGCAAACACCGACCATTTTGAGGCATAGAGTCGCCTAGTAGACGATGCTCTAGCCTGCGTGATCGTGTTCAGCACTCCCTCGGGGAGGTTTGCGGGTACCCATTGATGGCCCATGCGTGCAAGGACCAATGTTCCGGGTAAGGATTCCAAATTGAGCCCCTGGCCTGAGAAAGGAGGTCTTTCCTCATCGGTATTGGCCATGGGGCAGTGCTCGCCAGCTGCATCAGGACTGGAAACCACGCTTGGTTCGTCCAGAGCAGCGCCACAAGGAGCACTGAGCATCCGTTTTCCCTTATTCGTTCCAATACCTGAGGCAGGAGTGAAATGGGGGGAAAAGCATAGAGGGGGCAGCGGGGCCAGACGTGGGCCAGCGCATCCTTGCTCTTGGAGAAAAAATTCGGGCAGTGAGCATTCTCTTGAGACGCGAACAGGTCTATCTGCGCTCTGCCGAATGTCTCCCATAGCAGAAGGACCGTCTGCGGGTGCAGAGACCATTCCCCTGCTGGAACATTGTTCCTGGACAATCTGTCCGGTCCCAAATTCAGGTGACCAGGCACATGTGCTGCTCTCAGTGAGCGCAAATTGTGCTGAGCCCATACCAGGAGGCGTTCTGTCAGCCTGTAAAGGTTTCGGGATCTGACGCCGCCCTGGCGATTTATGTAGGCTAGCACTGACATGTTGTCCGAGCGGACCAAGACGTGGTGGCCTTTTATTCGGGGACAGAAGCGCCTCAGCTCTTTGATACCAACCTTTCTTTTGAAAGCCACGTGTCTAGTATCTGTAAAACTGCATTTTTCCATCTTAAAAATATATCTAAAATACGCCATATGCTCTCATTGGGAAATGCGGAACAATTAGTTCATGCGTTCATGACCTCAAGGCTAGACTATTGTAATACTCTACTGGGTGGTTGCCCTGCACGCTTAATAAATAAACTACAGCTAGTTCAAAACGCAGCAGCTCGAGTTCTTACCAGAACCAGGAAATATGACCATATTAGCCCGGTTCTGTCAACACTGCATTGGCTCCCTATTAAACATCGTATAAATTTTAAAATATTGTTGATTACTTACAAAGCACTAAATGGTTTAGCTCCGCAGTACTTGAGAGAGCTCTTAAAGCATTATAGTCCTTCACGTCTATTGCGATCTCAAAATTCCGGCCAGTTGATAAAACCTAGAATATCTAAATCGACTGCTGGCGGTAGATCCTTGTCCTATTTAGCACCAAAACTTTGGAACAGTCTTCCTACCATTGTCCGAGAAGCAGACACACTCAGTTCAAAGCTAGACTAAAAACCCATCTCTTTGACCTAGCATACACATAATACATTATAGACTTCTATAATTCAATGTTAGGCTGCATAGATTAGGTCAGCCGGAACTGGGAACACTTCCCTTAAATCTTGATGTACTCGTTACATCATAAGAAGAATGGCATCTACGCTAATATTAGTGTCTTTGTTTATCCCGAGGTTTTCCCGCAGCCTGCCGGATCCAGGCCGTATCCAGATCTGACGAAGGAGCTTTGCCTGGACCCGATGACAATGCAGTGCTGAAGTGTCAACTATCCTCTCCCTATGGAGGATCCCTTTCCCACTCTACAGATAAAGCGTTGTGAATTTCGGTTCGCGTACCCCTAAGTGATAAAATAAAACAAAATTCTGTATCAAAATTTATAGGCAAGACATAGTTTGTTTAGGCATGGGTTGTATGGAATTACAAACCTGCGCACATATTTTCAAAAGCACATAACTATAGAATCAATTCTGAATGTGCATATGAACGCCGTCAGCGTTAAGCACAGGTTCGCGTTTAAAGTCTGATCATTTCGACGGAGGTGAATCAATCAAAATTAACTTTAGCTGGAAATAACATTATTCAAGAACCGCTATAAAGCCAAAACAATCTCTGTTACCTTAAATTATATGTTTATCTCTGTAAAGCTGCTTTGAAACAATCCATTGTTAAAAGCGCTATATAAATGAAGATGACTTGACTTGACTTGACTCAGCGCGAGATCGACTGCCATCATCTCTAGACAGTTTATGTGTAGGAGCTTCTCTCGTTCTGACCACTGGCCGAAAAACGGTCTTGCCCTCGAGCAGCGCTCCCCATCCCGAGGTGGAGGCGTCCATGGACACCACCTGCACACTCGAGGAAGTCCCCAGGCTTACACCTGACTGGTACCAGTCGTTCGCCTCCCAAGGTTTCAGAGCTGTGACGCATTTCTGATTGACCCTGAGGCGAAACTGACCGGAGGTCCAAGCTCAAGGCGGCACTCGTGCTTTCAGCCACTACTGCAGTGGGCGCATGCGAAGCCGACCCAGCTGAAGGACTGATGACGCTGATGCCATGAGGCCCAGCATCTTCTGAAATCTCCAGAGAGGGACTATAGTGCTGCAGCGGAAGGATTTCACGAAGCGCTGAATGTTCAGTCTGCGCTCTGGCGATAGTTGCGCTGTCATTGCGCAGATTGCGGCGTGCAGCCTGGCCGCGCTCAAATCCCTTATAGCAGTCTGCTGAGAGAGAGTGAGCGGGGCGAGTCCCGTAGGGCTTAACATGTCTGTGAGTGAATGTGGGCGCGTGACAGCGGGCACATTCATTGCACTGAAAACACCATCGGCCTGAGCTGACTGAATGTGTGTTGGTTTTGTTTTTACAAAAACCGTGGGACATGTGGTGTGTAGTGTTTGTGGGCACCGAGACGTGGGCACATTCACTACATTTGATGCACAATCGACATGAGGCGATTTTATTTGTGCGAGCCCTGCAGTGTTGCGGGCTGTGTTTGTGTGTAGAAATGAGCACTGGTTTGTGGGCATTTTTATTACACTCATAACACCATCGGCCGTGGCCGGAACACCAGAAATTACATTCTTTATGTGATTTATCTGGGTCGCCGTAAAAACGGCGTTTGTGTGCAGGCAAGCGGGCCGTGGGGCCGACTTGTTTACTGCATAATACACTGGGACAGCCACAAATCTTGGAACTGAACGAGCGAGAAATTTTGGTGAAACTCCGGCCGCGGCGGGACTTGAAGACCGTCGTTTTTCTTGGAGTGCTAGGACGACTTTGAGGCCTCGGGCTTGATCTCAATCTTTGGCCGGGGCCCGCGCAGAGGGGGGCGGCGGCCTGGCAGCACTGTGGAGCGGCGGCGGGCGGAGGCTGTGGCTGAGAGCTGCGAGCAGACGGCTGTTTAGGGCGACCTGCTGCGGAGCTAGAGCGCCGAGGAACACAGAGCGCTCCGAGTCCGGCATCTCTGACAGCGTCAACCATAAGTGTCTCTCAGCGACGGTGAGAGAAGCCATAATCCGCCCAATGACCTGTGCAGCAGATTTTGCGGTGCGAAGAGCCAGGTCTGTAGCGCTACGTAAATCCGGCACGCTAATAGCTTCCTGGCCTTCCTCGTCCATTTTTCGGAGAAGGTCGGTCTGGAGTATATACAGTATGGCCATAGAGTGAAGAGCCGACACAGCCTGCCCAGCGGCGGTGTAAGTGCGGGAGTGCAGGGCTGACGTGGTGCGGCAAGCCTTAGATGGTAGGGCCGTCTTAGCTCGCCGTCCAGCAGAGGGCGGGCAAAGTTGGGCCGCTACGGCTTCTTCCACGCCTATTCTTTCGCACCGTCCACAACGGAGAATGCAGCAGAAACAGAGGGACGCACTCGGGCTGAGAAGGGGGCACTCCAAGACTTCGCGACTTCTTCGTGTAGCTCAGGAAGAAAAGGCGCGGGTCTAGACGACGCTGGGGTGCAGTCACCTTGCAGGAAACACCCATCCAGTCGGTTGCGCGCGGGCGCCTCCCACTCGAGGCCGAGGCTCGCAACGGCCTGCGAGAGAAGACGCATCAGTTCCGACTCGATGTTGGCTCGCTTTACTGACGGTCCACGGGCAGAGGTCCACAGAGCTCGCCCAATCCTCGCTGTCCGATGCCAGTAGAGAGCAGCTGGCCTCCCCTGCAGAGATCACTGGCTCGTCGTCATCGATGGCGGCAGACCGCGGCCGCTGTCCGTCAGTGAGCGAGCAGAGCAACACTGGCGAAGCTGGCGGGCGCACCGGCGAGCATTCGCGTGTTAGAGGAGGCTCAGGGACCCGTTGAGCACAGCGCTTTTTACGGCGCGGCACTGTAGCGGGCGGAAGTGCAGTCTCGGTGAAGAATGCCAGGCGAGTCCGCAGAGTCAACATAGGCAATAGCTCGCAGTGAGGGCATCCGCCGTCGGCGAGCGCGAGAGCTGCATGATCCTCTCCCAGGCAGGAAACGCAAATCACATGGCGGTCCCCGTCGCTGAGTGGGGCTCGGCACGAGCCACAGGAGGATGGCATCTTTAAAAAGTTGCGGCTCTTTTAGAGTGAAGGGTGTGCGTCACGGGGCGAACACAAGCAGTGAAAGGATATAGTACGGCGGATAGCGTAGCAGGAACGGCGGCTGAAGGCGGCGAGGTGAAGGCCAGCGACTTCAGAGGCAGAGGGCTCGTCCGGCAGAAAGCTGTTTCAACGGCGCGGCTTCTCACTCTGGATCCAGCGGTGCCTACGCTTCGCTGAAGAGATGAAAATCAGATTCTATCAGCCCATCGAGCTATATTTATAGGGCTAGGCCACGCCCGCTTCGGCGGGAGCATGACGCAATGGGCGCGAAGCGCCCTCATTGGACCGTCACAGAAGGGCCTTTCTCGATAGGCTGCTGCAATTGCCGCAGGACAGCCAATAGGCACGCTAAGCCGCCTTCCATATGTCTGCATGCTGCTGAAATGCGTTTTACATTAATACAAAATTAAGGATAATTTTTTGGCTTCAATATCTCGTGGAAAAGAGGTTTCCCCTAGCGTAAGATATTACACAGTACGAGAGAACCTCTCGTAAGAGAACAATTGGTGTTGATTGACGCCAATCGGAGGTTCATGTTTTTTTCCGTCTATTTGAAAGTAAGGCTAATAATAACATGTTGCATTCTATATGGCCTGATTATTTGATTTTGTTTTAAGTTACATAGCCTGCCTCCAGTTTTCCTCAACTTGACTAATTAAGAGGCGATATTTGACCGGCATATCATCAAAATGTCCGTAAAACGAAACCTCTGCCGGTCACTATGACCGACACCATTTTTTTCTAGCGGAAACTCTGACACCAACCTATTTGTTCCTCAGTATCTTCATGTTTTATTCTGGATGGTTCTGGATCACTCATGTCTTCAATCTCCTCTTTAATAAACTCCATCTTTAACAGTCACACAGATTTCAGCTGCTACTCCTGGAGTTTGTCCTTCTCTTGTAGGATGATGGGAATATTCCCAGTATTTATTGGTGAATTGTTGTGGGAGGGGCTTCACTGCAGGTGTGAACTGTGATCACTGTGTGATACTGACGCCCACAGGACCAGATCTGGAAAAATAAAAGATCAGTTACTGAATTCGTACTGGATTACTTTAACAGTAAACACATATGGTGCCTTTGATTTACTTCAAATATAGAGCATTGTGATCGTTATATATTAGTAGCATATAAAACAACTGTATGTTGATAATTTTCATGTAACCCAGGATATAATAGACACAAGACGACAGAAATCAACCATCGATTAAGGGACTGAGAATGATGGCACAAAAAGAAATAATCTAACACTTGACCATCAAAATGTGGATAACAAGTACTTTACAATTATGATAATTTAAGTGTTTTTTTTTTTTCAGAATAATTTATCATATATTGCTCATTATTTAATTTAATTGATCATATATTGCAATTTTTGGTTGAACTATAGGCTAAAGCTTTCTTAATTGTTGAACTATTGTGAGGGACGCCAGATCTGCCAAATTCAAGGTTACTGAGTTTATACTTTAATAATTACACTTATTAAATGAAATGGCCATATGTGCTTGATTTAAGAAATATAGATAATGTTGATACGGTTATATAGTAGCATTTAAAACGGCTCTATATGAAGGTTGTTCATTGTTATGTGACTCCAGATTTTATAAGGATGAAACAAGTGGCATGTTAAATTATTATATATCAATTAAACAGGAATCTTACAAAGATAACAGAAATCATACAAAATATGCCTATATCGTTATGCTAATCAAAACTAACGTTAATGATTTAATTCTCTGTCGTTACGCTACGAACTGTACATTTGGGCAACACAAACATCAATTCTTAAATGATAAATATAACATATCTGACCTGCAGACTGGAAATATGCGGCATCTGGAAAAAATATTTCACATTTGCTTTTCATTCATGATCGTTAACACAACAGCGTCACTTTCAGCCTCAACTGGTGAAAGTTTCAGCTCTTGTCTCGTGTCTCTCGCGCTTTCCCTTTTTTTTATTGCATTATCAAGAACATTAACGTAATATACACTTACAGGGGATCACAACGTGTTCGACTGTTACGTTCATAGCAGCGTCAAAGGAAACAACAAACAGAAAGAGCGAGAGAGAAGAAAGAAAACAAAGCTATAGAAAGGCTCTCGCGCTTCTCTTTTCTGCGCATGCTCAGTGCGCGCGGTGTCATGTTTAAAGGGGCCGCATTCAGTAAATTCATCTACGCACTGGACCAAATCAAGTATTATAATAATTAATAATGCACAGTAATAATATATATAATATATGGGTTCAACAATAGATTCACCCTTACATAAAATCACCGGATCTTGGTGAATTAAGTTGGACCTCAATGTATAATGTGATTTATTGTCAGCCAACAGTTTCATGAAAACAACAAAATACATTTATAAATAAAATAGCTAGTGAACAGTATATGAATAAAACCCGAAGGTAAATAATCATAGGTGGTGTGTGTTTAAGGCTGGACAAGAGTTCTCACTCAAACCACTGCCTGCTGAACATTGGCGTAACGAGCCAACACCGGGCCCTTATGCAGGATTATCAAGGCGGCCCCCCTACTACAGCACGTGATGACGCAATGTCCACAAGTAGGCTACCATGAATAGGACAGGATATGATCATAGAGACACAGCATATAAGAGAAGAGATGACTGATAAAATAGGATAAACATCTCGAATTCCTATTTTCGTTTTTAAAAGCCATTTTTATAATTTGACTACGACTCCATATCGATATTGTTTGTCTCAAGTTCAACATTTTTACTGTTTTGCACGCAATACCGGCCCGGGGATTCCCCAGTCCCAATTCGAAACAAATGACAACAAAATCCATCATTGTTAGTTTCACACATGTATTTAATGATCAGTAAAAATATGTTGTTGTCCTTATTTATTCAAATAAATTTGCTATAAAGTAAATTGCGATCAGACTAAAAGTAGTAATGCGATAGGGGGCCCCGGCTGTCAATCAATAGGCTTGTTTGAGATGAGCAAAATCTGCGCAGAACAGATCACCGGTGATCAGCGCGAGATGCATGCCGGTTAGAAATGTGTCCGAGTGCGGTCCGCCTTGCTCTGATGTCATGCCGACGTATGTAAAAAAAACTCTCGCGAGCGCAAGGCGCACGTGTCGGATTCTGCAGTCGCGCGCAGTTGCTCTCCACCGACTACGCTGATCAAAAGCACGATGGGAAACGACTTGCTGACGACACAGCTTAATGCTCATTGGTTTAAACAACCGTGATGTATCCCAGCTAACAAATTTAGGTTCTGAGAACGTTTTCCTAACGGTCCAATTTGGTTGTGGGAACGTTGATTTGAAATGTTCTAAAAACGTTGAAATGTCCAGTTTGCTTAACGTTGCTGGAACGGTATCTTAATGTTAGCAAAACGTTGTTGGAACGTTAGCATATCAACGTTATGAGAACTTTCCTCAATCACAAATAACGTCATAAAGACGTTCCAAGAACGTTGTTCTAAGAACGTTTTCTATCAACGTTATGAGAACGTTCATCAATCACAAATAACGTCATAAAGACGTTCCAAGAACATTGTTCTAAGAACGTTTTCTCTCAACGTTTTGAGAACGTTCCGAAAACATTATTTTAATAATGTTTTGTACTAACATTTACACAACTTTTAAAGAACGTAAGTGAATGTTATGGGAACGTTCCCTGTTAGCTGGGATTGTTCTCTTTTAAAATGTTTGATTTGAAAACTCTGATATCATGTTTTATGTGTATAAATTATGTGTGGATATTCCCAAACTCTCTGACAGTGCGATCTATGTGATGTAATTAAAAAAAAATTTTTTTTAAATAAAAACACGTCTTTATGTATTAAAGAAAAAAATATTGATAAACATGTAGGCCTATTTAAAATGGAATTAAATAAGTACTTTGGGTGTCTTGTTCATTATATTTATTTTCATATACAAACAGCAACTTAAATTACATCCAGTTTATTAGCAACACCTGGACGAGCGTGAATCCCGCGATATCAGTCTTTGATCTCACAGGTGTCTGATCCACTGCGAGAAGAGAGATCTGTCCGGCTTGCCTGCGCTTTTTTCACTCCTCCCCTCACCGCAGCCGCCTACTCTCGACTACATTTCAGGCGAGGCAAGGCGCATCTCAAACAAGCCTATAATCGTCCAGTCACGCGGGCCCCTGATTGGTCCGGCCCCGTAAGCAACTGCGTTCCCTGCTTACCGATAGTTACGCATGTGCTGCTGAAGCTTTTGGTCGCTTTTAGAGAGAAAGATTTCTCATAACTGCTGGTCTAGGAACAGTTTTCTCCATAATAATAGCATGTTGGCAGTTGCCTCAGCCTGTTGACACTAATGACTTCACTTCACCATAATTAATGAGGTGAAAACAGGGGCCTAGACCTTATTCAGAGCAGCGACATGATAGGCATGAAAGTGAGGCTGTGAAGATAGACTTACCGTGTTTTAAAAACTATTTCCAAAAACATATATTAGACTTGTTTTCAGTTTAAACAAGTTAAACACAGTTAAACACCTTTTGTCAAGACAATTATTTTTTTCTGTTTATTTCTCATAATTGCATGTACTATCAGAAGACAATATAGTAAACTTTGTAAATAAGTAAGTGACATAAATATAATTCAAGATAGACCTACTAAGCACACAATCCATGCAGAGAGATTTTGCACACAAAAAAGATTAACACTGTTGAAGCTTGACCTCTGAAGTCTTTCTAGTCTTTCAATTATTTAAACAAAAAAAAAAAACCTAGATCCTCCATATTTTATCTTGTGGAATTTATCTGAATGTAGTTGATATGAAAACGAATGTTGATCACTTACAACAGTTTTTTATATGAGCACGAAGGCTTGATAAATGTTTAAAACTCTTCTCACACTGAGTACAGTGGAACGGCTTCTCTCCAGTATGAACTCGCTCGTGTGATTTCAGAGATCCAGACACAGTGAAACTCTTGTCACAATATGAGCACTTGTAAGGTTTTTCTCCAGTATGAATTCTTTGGTGCCGTTTCAGATAAGTAGATGTAGTATAGCTCTTCCCACAGTCACAACACACATGATCTCTCACTTCATCGTGTGTTTTCTGGTGCAGTTTAAAACTGTCAGGCCGTGAAAAACTCTTTCCACAGAGAGAACACACATAAGGCTTCTCGTCTGAATGAACTTTCAGGTGTGATTTTAGATGTGTTGACGAAATAAACCCTTTACCACATCGATCACAGTTATATGTTTTTTCTCCAGAGTGAATACGCAAATGATGCTTGAGTAAGGATGAAGATGTGAAACTCTTTCCACACTGAGTGCATGGATACGGTTTCTCTCCAGTGTGAATTCTCATGTGTGTCTTAAGGTGTCCTTTTTCTCTGAAACTCTTTCCACAGAGAGAACACAAGTGAGGCTTAGCACCTGTATGAAAAGTTAGGTGTCTTTTGAGATATGATGGTGAAGTAACACCTTTTCCACACTGAGTACAGTAGTACGGCTTCTCTCCAGAGTGAATTTGCTCATGTAGTTTCAGGTTTCTAGAATAAGTGAAACTCTTGTCACAATATGAGCACTTGTAAGGTTTTTCTCCAGTATGAATTCTTTGGTGCAGTTTCAGATCATGAGATGTAATAAAGCTCTTCCCACAGTCACAACACACATGATCTCTCACTTCATTATGTGTTTTCTGGTGCCGTTTAAAACTATTCAGCCATGAAAAACTCTTTCCACAGAGAGAACACACATAAGGCTTCTCATCTGAATGAACTGTCAGGTGTTGTTTTAGTTGTGATGATGAAATAAAATCTTTACCACACTGATCACAGTTGAATGCTTTTTCTCCAGAGTGATGGAGCAGATGAACACTGAGATCTGATGCATGAGTAAAACTCTTCTCACACTGAGTGCATGGATACGGTTTCTCTCCAGTGTGAATTCTCATGTGTGTCTTAAGGTTTATTTTATTTTGGAAACTCTTTCCACACTGAGAGCAGGAGTGCAGCTCATTGGCTTCTGTTCCTTGAGCTTTGAAGTCGCAGTGTTTCTTTACGTCATTTAGTTTCTGTATTTGCTCCTTCACTCCCATCTGGTCTAAAATAAACATATTAATCAGTTAGAATCAGTTCAATGAGGTTAAATGTGAGAAATAAAAACACTTAGCAAGCAGAAAACAAGACACCCGTCTGTATAAAGTATCTTTGAAAGGTCAGTTTTGTCATTCTCTTGTTAAAGCGATTAAAACTGGCTTATGATCATTTACATGCATTCCTCTATCATTTGTAATCCATATTTCAGAGATACGAAAGCAGTCAACAATGAAGAATCAAGAATGGACACCAACCTGTTTGTTCCTCAGTATCTTCATGCTTTATTCTGGATGGTCCTGGATCACTCATGTCTTCAATCTCCTCTTTAATAAACTCCATCTTTAACAGTCACACAGATTTCAGCTGCTACTCCTGGAGTTTGTCCTTCTCTTGTTTGATGATGGGAATATTCCCAGTATTTATTGGTGAATTGTTGTGGGAGGGGCTTCACTGCAGGTGTGAACTGTGATCACTGTGTGATACTGACGCCCACAGGACCAGATCTGGAAAAATCAGAGATAAGTTACTAAATTTACACTGGATTACTTTAACAGTAAACACATTTGGTGCCTTTGATTTAGTTCAAATATAGAGCATTTTGATGGTTACATATTAGTAGCATATAAAACAACTGTAGGTTGATAATTTTCATGTAACCCAGGATATAATAAGGATGAAACAGGGCACAGGTTCTATTATTCAATTAATATCTAAACTCTTCAGAAATATGACACAAGACGACAGAAATCAACCATCGATTAAGGGACTGAGAATGATGGCACAAAAGAAAATAATCTAACACTTGACCATCAAAATGTGGATAACAAGTACTTTACAATATTATGATAATTTAAGTGTTTTTTTATTTTCAGAATAATTTATCATATATTGCTCATTATTTAATTTCATTTATCATATATTGCAATTTTTGATTGAACTAGGCTAAAGCTTTCTTAATTGGTGAACTATTGTGAGGGACGCCAGATCTGCCAAATTCAAGGTTACTGAGTTTATACTTTAATAATTACACTTGTTAAATGAAATGACCATATGTGCTTGATTTAAGAAATATAGATAATGTTGATACGGTTAAGTTATATAGTAGCATTTAAAACGGCTCTATGAAGGTTGTTCATTGTTATGTGACTCCAGATTTTATAAGGATGAAACAAGTCACATGTTAAATTATTATATATCAATTAAACAGAAATCATACAAAATATGCCTATATCGTTATGCTAATCAAAACTAACGTTAATGATTTAATTCTCTGCACGTTACGCTACGAACTGTACATTTGGGCAACACAAACATCAATTCTTAAATGATAAATATAACATCTCTGACCTGCAGACTGGAAATATGCGGCATCTGGAAAAAATATTTCACATTTGCTATTCATTCATGATCGTTAACACAACAGCGTCACTTTCAGCTTCAACTGGTGAAAGTTTCAGCTCGTCTCTCTCGCGCTTCTCTCTTTTTTATTGCATTATCAAGAACATTAACATAATATACACTTACAGTGGATCACAACGTGTTCGACTGTAACATTCATAGCAGCGTCAAAGGAAACAACAAAAAGAAAGAGAGAGAGAAGAAAGAAAACAAAGCTATAGAAAGGCTCTCGCGCTTCTCTCTTCTGCGCGTGCTCAGTGCGCGCGGTGTCATTATTCTTAAAGGGGCCGCATTCAGTAAATCACATCTACGCACTGGACCAAATCAACTTCTATAATAATTAATAATGCACAGTAATAATATATATAATATATGGATTCAACAATAGATTCACCCTTACATAAATTCACCGGATCTTGGTGAATTAAGTTGGACCTCAATGTATAATGTGATTTATTGTCAGCCAACAGTTTCATGAAAACAACAAAAGACATGTATAAATAAAATAGCCAGTGAACAGAATATGAATAAAACCCGAAGGCAAATAATCATAGGCGGTGTGTGTAAGGCTGGACAAGAGTTTTCACTCAAACCACTGCCTGCTGAACATTGGCGTAACGAGCCAACACCGGGCCCTTATGCAGGATTATCAAGGCGGGCCCCCTACTACAGCACGTGATGACGCAATGTCCACAAGTAGGCTACCATGAATAGGACAGGATAGGATCATAGAGACACAGCATATAAGAGAAGAGATGACTGATAAAATAGGATAAACATCTTGAATTCCTATTTTCGTTTTTAAAAGCCATTTTTATAATTTGACTACGACTCCATATCGACATTGTCTGTCTCAAGTTCAACGTTTTTACTGTTTTGCACGCAATACTCATGTTCACATACCGGCCCGGGGATTCCCAATTCGAAACAAATGACAACAAAATCCATCATTGTTAGTTTCACACATGTATTTAATGATCAGTAAAAATATGTTGTTGTCATTATTTATTCAAATAAATTTGCAATAAAGTAAAATGCGATCAGACTAAAAGTAATAATGCGATAGGGGGCCCCGGCTGTCAATCAATATCTTCCAGTCACGCGGGCCCCTGATTGGTCCGGTCCCGTAAGCAACTGCGTACCCTGCTTACCGATGGTTACGCATGTGCTGCTGAAGCTTTTGGTCGCTTTTAGAGAGAAAGATTTCTCATAACTGCTAGTCTAGGATCCGTTTTCTCCATAATAATAGCATGTTGGCAGTTGCCTCAGCCTGTTGACACTAATGACTTCAACATAATTAATGAGGTGAAAACAGGAACCTAGATCTTGTTCAGAGCAGCGCCATGATAGGCATAAAAGTGAGGCTGTGAAGATAGACTTACCGTGTTTTAAATGACATGTGTGTCATGTGTTTAAATGTGTAAAAATGACAGTCAAGAGTGCAGTCCAATAAAGAAAAGTTTTACTGAAGATAGTTTGTAATTTCATCAGGCAGAAGGAGTTTTTACGCCGCTCTGTTACAATCTAAAACAATCACAGTCAGCAATAATACCCTTCACCATGGTCTAAGCTTCAGGTTAAATGATTCTGATGGGCTAAGAAATAGATAAACATAGTAAATTTCCACACATAGACTGATAGACTGAAGCATATCTCCATCGATTATGCTGCTGACACTCGGATCCTGAATTTAGGCACGTCGTGGAAAGAAGAAGAAAACAAGTCGCAGAAAACAAGTCAGTCAAGCAGGTCGCAGATCTGCATTGCTGGGCTCCAACATATAGAAGAAAACAAGTCAGTCAATCTCCAATAATGCCATAATGTTTCTCAACCTGTAACCAAGAATACTGCCACACACACACACACACACACACACACATACACACAGCTTCTTCAAGGTTGGATTTGGTCGGGCTCTAACTATAAACAGGAGATTCTTCTCAAAACATCAAGATAACATTTTTCTTTCTCTCAAGGAGAGGACACTTTATATCTAACTGTAAAGTAAAGGCTTTAACTAAGAAATGGTCACTCAAACTATAGATTTCAGCGACCCGTGACCCTAGAAAAGCAGATGTATGTATTGACAAACGAGTCCATAATTTATTTCTGGAAGCTGGGCTAAATGCACTGTAAAAAGTGCTACACCCACAAAGTAGGTTTTATATATTTTAAATATTTATAATCTAGTTTATTTTATTGGTTTTATACAAAAAAGTATCAAAATACTTCCTCTTTACTTAAAATATATCAGTTTTTATATAACAATATATTTTAAATAAAACCCATGCAATTTATTTGGGTAGTTATTTGAATGTGGTTGTTGTGTACAATAAATGTTATAAAAGTGAGTTGACAATGCACAATTTATTTGAGCAGCTGTTGATGTGACAGGTGTGTTCATCAAACGTAAATATTTTAAATTTTATAAGTTGGCATTATCCCTTTTTCACTGGCGGGGACTCCAGGCAGATGCAATATCTTCCTCTGGACTTCAACTGTTTGGTCGCTGCAGCGGATCTGAATTTCAAGGTCTGATTAACACGGTAAGTTGAGCAAATTTAGCCGAATGACTGGTGATGTAAACTAAAGTCACGCAAAATCGCTTACTCCACTAGGGAGCTGAGGTTAGGTTTGCAAATTGTAAAGCTAGCTATCCTGCACACATGGTAAGCTAAGATGGCTGCACAGTGTGGTCGATCGGCAGACAACAGCAGTGTTTAAAGCAGTGTTGTACACATACAAGTTACGTATGTAATAATTAGTTGCACAAATGCCCTCAGTTATATAGTTTGAGATTCCACAGATTAAATTTCGGGATCGTATTGCGAACTGTCGCAATTTCGAGCCTTCAGGCAATAGTTGTGCGGGCAAATAAGGGAAAGTAAGATGTGATGTTTTATGGACAACACTTTGTTTTGTGTGTTGTGTGTCTGACAGGACTCAGAGATTATGTTATTATACTTTTGCATTGCTAAAGCAGATGCACAGATTAGACTGTAGAGATGTATGTTTAGTAGTCTGTCTGATTTTAGAGATTTGATCCACGTTATTTTAATGCTGCATAGTCAATTAATGACAGATTTTTGGTCTAGATTTTTTAACTATTTCTAACCTATTACTTAAAGGAGTTACATTTACAACTGATTTTTTAACCTTATTTCTAACATCTAATATTTTCCCGGTCTTTAGATACCCAAGCACTTTTGTTACCTGGGGTCTTCGAGCTTCACATCCAGGTAAAACAAACTTCAGAATAGATTCAATTACAATTTGATCAGATTATACGTGTTCTGTAAGTCCAATAGACGTTCAGGGAACCTCCATACAAGGTTAAAAACTAGTTCAGATGTGGACATATTTTATGTAATTTAATGTCTCATTTAGACAATTTAAACTGTTTCTGGACCAAATAAACACTTTCAGGATGCATTAAATTAAAACTCATGTTTATTTCAACGTAATTTCTAATTGCAAAGCAACTCACAGACAGTGTGTGTTTGTCCAAAAATCATGAAATCATTACTGTCTACTTAGGGCAGCAGCTTAAGGTCCCTGGTTCGAATCTGATTTCTCTCACGATCCAAATATGTATAAATTACAGATGCTAAACTGT